CTTTAAACCAAATCACGGTCTTCACTGGAATACAGGGGAGCTTCAAAACATTCATGGTAGATAGTGATTCTCTTTTAATCCCATTTTTCATAAACTTTTGAAACTCCCTTGTAAATGTATAAGGAAACGTTACCTAAATGGAAACCCAATAGCATGGTGAGCAACAAAAATTGCTCACGGTCATAGAACAATACCATCAAAGTCCACAATTGCCTGGTAAAAGCTCTTTGCTATAAGCGGGGATCAGCCGGTGTAGAAAATAGAGTCATTCCCACAACCTGATGAGGTTGAGAATAGCTGTGATGAAGGAATTCGTACTCCTTCAGAGGGAGAGGACTGATCTGCTGAACACATCACAGCAGGCGACAGGGCAGAAGGACTTCATGTGGCCAGCCCAGGGACGCCTTTCAGAAGAGGCTTGTCACGTCCTTGAGTAGAAGCCTCTCCCCCTGATACACCTTTACCTGATACACCTTCAGTGACCTCTGTGCTGACCCCAGTTGCCTTGCCTTTGAGGAGCGTGATTCGAATGAGGAGGTTATTGAGTTTGACACAAGACAGAATAAGCCTGTGTGCAGCCAGTCCCCGTGACTTGTGAATTCTCCTACTTGCTAAACTTTGCTTGTAATCCCCAAAGAAACCCTCATACAGCACCCTGCGGTGCGTCTCAGGCCTTCAAGGTCAAGTGCGGAGGGGGAAATAAGTTGGCCGATGAACGAGGTTGGCTTGGTACTCAACGACCTCCGTGTTCACAGGGTCCTCACAACGCATAACACCTGCCAACAGTGAGGCTCGGCTTCTCCTAGCAGCATCCCCGACGTGTTGGTGGTGGCGTCCTTAGGTGCCATCTAGTTGGCTCAGGCCCACAGTGACCGTATAGCCAACGGAAGGAAACACTGGCCGGTCCTGCGCCCTCCTCGCCCTTGTTCCTGTGCTTGAGCCCCTTGCTGCATGCTTGGTGAAGACCCTCCATTGCCTTGGATTGACCCAGGGAATGCAAATCGAGCTGTGGTGAGGAGGGCAGGGGACCGGCTGTGTTTCACTCTGTTGAACAGAGAGCCACTGTGAGTTGGAAGCACTTGTTGGCCTCTCACAGCATAACCACCTTCCTCCAACTCATGTGAAGCACGCGGCAAAATCGTTCCGTGGAGACTGTGACATAGGAGACAGTCATTACTCCCCGAGCCAGGCAGGAGACCCTGGGGGTGCAAACGGCTAACATGCATGCCTCCTAACCCCAAGTGGGAGGTTCAGCTCCACTCACAGACACCTCGGAAGAAAGGCCTGGTGATTGATGTCAGGGAACTGACCATGGCTAATGCTGTGGAACACTGCTCTACTGGGCTGCCCCAAGTTGGATTTGACACAGTGGCAATGGGAGGCAGCGAATCTGCCACGCAGTTGCAGAGGGGTGGGTGGGTGGGTGGGGGAATTTTATGCACCTTTTCTAACCAGCAGCCCTTTCATGATTGGAAAGATGCGTTTTTTTGTTTTTCGCTTTTCTGGGTTTTTTTAAAAATAAATCATTTTAGTAGGGGCTCTTACAACAACCCATACATCAATTGTATCAAGCACCTTTTTATTGGTACTCATTTTATTGGGGGCTCATACAACTCTTATCACAATCCGTCCATTGTGTCAAGCACCCTTGTACATTTGTTGCCATCATCATTTCCAAAATGCTTTCTTTCTATTTGAGCTCTTAGTATCAGCTCCTCATTTTTTTCTTTTCCCTCCCAACCCTCCCTCCCTCCCTCATGAACCCTTGATAATCGATCTTTTTTTTTTTTTCCTGTCTTACAATGGCCGATGCCTCCCGTCATTCAAAGCAGAGTTGGGTTTGAATGTGGAGTGTCCCATGGCGGGTTCAGGGAAGAGGTCTCTGTTGCATGGGGTTTGCTCTCTGGGACAAAGGCCCTTGTCTCACTCCACCCTCCCTAGGGTGTGACTTAGAAGGAACCAGAGTGAGGAGCAAGTGGCCTTGTTCGGGCACCGGCTCACCTCATGTGTCCTGTGTCTCTCCAGGAAGCCAGCACTGCCCCGCACCCTGTGCTCCGATGATCTTCTGAGCTGCTGCAAGAGCCTCTGGGGGCTTCAGTTCCTCCGGAGGCACCTGGGAGCCCCTGGAGAGCAGCAGCTGAGAGACTCCCCATCTGAGGAAGCCATGAGGACATTGCCATCCAGGGGCCTCTAGCCCCGGCCCCGAGCCCTGCAAGGCCCAGCCCAGGACACTGAAGACGCCCTTCCCAGGCACCAAGGATGTGAGCCCTAGGGCCACTGTGGATGGAGCCCCCGGAGCTGCTGAGGACACCCCCGGCTTGAATCTGGGTGATTCCCAGACCACGTGTGGGGCTGTGAGCTCCTTGGACTGAGGTCGGAACCATGTGCTCTCTGTGCCCAGTATCCACAGAGGATATGCAGGCCTGCCCTGGGCCACACTCACCTGTCCCAGGGCTCAACGCTCATGCTGGTGCTGGCCCAGGAGTCCTACAGAGGCAGTGGCACATACCGGGGTGTGCACGTGTGTGCCAGACGTGTGCACGTAGGAGCGAGCCTGTGGATCTTCTGAGCAGGGTGCGGGGTGTCACTCTAGAGGCGGGAGTCGCTCTCCCTCGTGGGGTTTATAGGGTGAAGGAGAGGAAAGGGGTAGTTAGTGAACAAGTACTCTGTTCCCGGCACGGCCCCTGCAGAAACTCATGACCACAGTGCAACATTGCAGGCATGGAGACAGGTTCAGAGACGCTCAGGGCCTGGCCAAGGCTGCACAGCCAGAAACTGTGCCTGGCACGTGGGAGGCCCCCAGAATATACCTGCGGTGGGAACGCATGAGGGCCTGACCAGGAATAACTAGGAGGATGGGTGAAAAGCCAGGCCTCCAGCCCAGTCTCTTGATCCGACACTACGCTGCTTCCCAAGAGAGTTTAGATAGTCCCTGACTCTGTGCACCCACGTCCAAGCTAGGCTCACGCCACGGCAGTGACCCTCTCTGGTGCTCTCCACCCACAAGAAGTGGCATTGAACGGCGTTGCTGGGGGAAGGGTGTGCAGGTTGGTGGGGTGCCAGAAAGGGAGGGGCAGCATTGAGTGGAATGCAAGAAATAGCAATGGGCTTGACCCAGCCTCGCTCTCTGCTGACTGTATGACCTTTGACCAATCGCCTGACCTCTGAGAAACTCCTGGCTCCTCCGTCCAAGGGGGTAAGCACCCCCATTTCCTGATTACAGGACTGGAAAAGAGACCCAAGGAGCTGGGTAGTGGGGAGGGGGTTTCCATCCCCAGAGAGGAGGGTGGTAATGGGCTTGTCTGGCCCCAGGGCTTCTCAGCAGCTGACCACTGCCCCTCCCAGAGACCACTCCTGCACTCTCTTCCAAGACACTCCTGTGGGGGGGTCCCTTTTGTAACTCTTCGTCCTCTGGCCCTGAGTTGTTGCCCTTCCCAAGGGCAGTCCCTTTCCCTCTCCTTGCCCTCTGAGACTTAGACCCACAGCCCAGGAACCTGCAGGGCTGGAGACCCACTGCTGCTGCCTACATGGCCCCTCCACCTGGAGGTTCCAAAGGCCCTCACTCGGAGCATGTCCACAGCTCCACTCTTGCCACCTTCCCCGCACCCGCTCCTCTGCCAGGGTTCCCCATGTCAGACAGAAGCCTTTCCCCCCAGCCAGCTCCAAAGGCTGAGGATCACCACAGGGACCTCCCTGCTCATGGTCTAACTTCTCCAGTCCCAGCTCCCTGGGAGTCTATCTATCGTCTGGTGGCTTCAATCTATGTCTGTGACCACTGCTCAGCTTCCCGGCCCCCCATCAACACCCCCTTCAGGATCCACGAAACCACTTCCCAATGGGCCTTAATGGCCTCATGCTGCTCCCTCCAATTCCCTCTCCACCTGAAACAGCCATGTGGGATTTTCAAAGTACACACCACCCTGGAGCCCACGGGTATAAAAACATCTTCAGATGGCCCACAGGCCCTGCGTGGGCCACCCTTCACGCCCCTCCAGCCGCCTCCTGTGCCGTATCCCTATCTCATTCCCCCAACTCTTTGCTTCAGGGCTACTGCCTGGGTGTTCTCGTTTTAATTGACTTGCTCTTCCAGCCCTTGGGCTGTCACGTGGCTGCTCCCTTGCCTTGAGTAGCCCCTGCTGCCCTCTTGACTGGGTAACTGCTCCAGTGTCAAGTCCTTGAGGGAGTCTTGGCTGTCATTCTAGGCAGATTCCCTTCCACACGCCTGTGGAGGCAGAATGTGACTGTGGTATAATGTGATGGGCTGACCGCGGCCTCCCCCACGCTTGAGATCCTACCCGGTCCTGTGCCACTGTATGGCTAGCCATGGCAACAGTGCTTGGCCCAGATTAC